GGCGGAAAACGCTGAGGTCTTGTAGAGCAAACAGGGTCGATCCCGTACCCGTAGCCCACTAATAATCCTGCTAGACCCATGCCGAGTCTCAATACCCCTTCGCTCGGCAACCGGATCACCCTCATCATGCCGCTGGGGATCTGTCACTGGATCCGTCCCAAGCACGACCTCAGACTGCCGGTGAAGAGACCTTGAGCAAGCGTTGGCGGAGGCTCTTCCCGTCGACGCGCAACTCAGCAACCGAAACACAAAAGCCGCCTCCGTCGCCCTCGTTTACAGCACAAAAAGTCACTCGCTCTGCTCGATCGCTTTTTTTTGCGGACCGGATCCCACGTTTGACACAAACAACTCGAACCGAATAGTTGTAAGGTACCATACTTGGAATTTCTGGTTCTGCTGCCTCCCACCCGATCCAGCCCAACACAACCCTGCGGCAACCATTCGTTTGGTCCAGACAGACCTGCCTCCTCCCCCCTCCCTTGAGTACCGAACCTCGGCTGCCTTTAAATACCTGGCCTCCCACCTGTACCCTCGTTACCACAGCTCAACACCCGTCTAGTCAAGGCCATAACTGCGTTTGAAACTCTCACTCGGTTCTCACCAGTTCTCCGGTAAGTGCGGCATGGCGTTTTTTGGGCTGCTGTGCCTCAGCCGCAACCACCTCACCCCAACGCATGTTGAACCTAAATAGGCGCTAACTACGTTCCAGAGTCCATCTTTCCTTCCTCTTGGGCTTTTTGTCTGTCTTCACCTGGGCATCGCCCCCACGCACTCAGTCCTCACAGCCCAGTCCAGCTAGCGGGTCTCGTCTCCAGCCCACCAACAACGCCACCAGAAACGATATCCGAGCAGAGAAGTCAGCATCAATCCCGGCATCAACAAGATGGCTCTCGCAAGTCACTGTGCCCACGTCTTCAGGATGATCAAGTCAGACAGCACTCTGATCCAGTGGCATTGCAATCTCTGCCACTCCGGCCCCCACTGGTGGATTTTCGAGTGCCGCTACTGCAAAATCCACACTTGTCGAGCCTGTACTCAGAGTGCCTGATTCAGGACTCTGCTTCTGCGTTGGGTATGCGCCTGCTGGAGGGAGGAGGATGGTGGGTTCTTGAATTGGTTGCCCCGCCGGCTCACACCTCGGCTGGTGTCGAAGTGAGTTGCTTTCCTCTCTACAAAACGGAACAGAAACCACGACCCCTCCCAAAGAGCGCATTTGCGGCTCCGCCGAGGTGCAACCTACCTTAGCGGTCCTGGAAGGCCGCCCCCAAAGTCCACGGAACCCGGCTTTGGCGGGTACAGAGACGGGCTGGCACGAAGGGGAACCTCAACGATCACTGCGCATGTGGCAGACAGCAAGAATCACACGAGAGCAACCGTGGCGCTAACAGCACCCCTCTAGGTAGTGATAGCCAATGTGTCTGGCATCCGAATCGACGACAGCCGACTCGCAATCGTCTACGGCCCACAAAGTAGCCCACACTGGCTCTGCGTCGGCATACATCGATGGATAGCGCCCTCGGCAGTCACCCGCACGCTTTTGCCTCCTTTCGACTCCGATTTCTTGATGCCAAGCACCACAAAACGTTGTGTTGTGCACTCAGAGACGTAAACGCCGTCCCGAGAGCCTATCGCCGTCTCCCTACCCACTCGAGGCAGTACAGGAACGGATACACGACACACAAACATCGGGCGGCCACTCGGTTGCGTTGAAGTCCTGTCACCACCTTTGGGGAATATGCAGCTGGGAAACGGCGGGTCCATCCCGCTGTCTTGGGTCCCCACGGCGTCACTTTATCCGTCATTACCTCCCTGGTCTTTTGCGCGCGCGCATTTCCGGCATCTGGGAGGTTACTTCCGCATCACCCAACCTCCACTCATCTTTTATTTGTACCGGCTTTTTTTTTTGGTCTGCCCAACAACCGGTGTTGGATGATTAGCGACACTACTTCTGCTCTTGTGGCGTTTTACGGCAGGGATCGGGGAAGAGAAAAAAAAGAGAGAAGACGGAGTTCCAGGTTGGTACTGTATGAGATATGTTACTTTGACTTTTTTAACTGGCTTTGTCTTGTTGGCGCTATGGGAAATTGGGATTAGATGGAGGACAAACGTCACCGGCAACAAAAATGGGGTGTGGGACAGGAACAGGGACTTTAGACGGGGAAAAGGGGCGCGCGGGGTGTAAACGGCGTCAAAAAGAGCAAAACGATATGTGACGGTTCACTTTTTTTTTTTTATCACAGATTCGTTGTCAAGTTGGGTTTGTCTTACTTCTACATTCGCACTGTTTGCTGCCCCTCACGGGATGTATCTTGTTCACTTCTCTGGCCGTGGTTGAGCCAGCCGGTTGTATTTTCCTTGTTTTCCGGAATCGATGGTTGAGGATGACGTGTTTATTCATCTATGGAGTGGCACGGAGCTACAAGGGGTGATCTGTGCATGTTGGGTTCGTTGGCATAAGTCTCGGAGAAAGAGGGCTTCCTTTATATTTTCGGATGGTCGCAGAAAGGCGATCAAGATTTCCTGCCTTGGTCGGCCCTTGGCTGAGGTGGCCCCAGGACGGGCCGTCACATACCCACGGCAAAAAAAACTGAACAAGTTGACACATACTTGTCATATCCAAAATTCTGATTGTAGTGCGTGTGTGAGACGGTTGCAAAATAGATGGTGTTGTGATTGCTGAGGGCCTGTTTGAAAGTACTACGTCCGCAAACCCAACCCTCCCAAACCGGATAGCTGCAGTTTAACGTTGGGGATTCTTTCCAAGCCATGTCAGGACCCGTCGTGGGGTTTTTTCCTGGTTTCGTCAGATAAACTTTGTCCGTGGCCCAACTTGCGAATCTGGATGGGCAGCTCGGTAGCTTTCCGCGCTTGTGCTGTCAATGTCCAGACCGCTCGCATTTGCCCCACCTTCCTTTCCCAGTCGATTTGCTTCACTTGGCCGGGGAACGAAAAGCGGGCGTTATCGCTTTGGGTTGAGGCGGCGTGGGCTGTTTGCACCGTGCACTAATCGGTTTGCGATACGGCACTTGATGCGCCGGGGAGAATTTGTGATATGATATGAAGTATACGTGTACTTGTTGTACTACGGCCGTTGACTTGGATGCTGTGCGACCTGTCAAGAGAGAACAACTGGCAGACGTCGAGAAGCTTCAGCCTCAACTTTTTTTTTCCCTTTCTCGTCGAGGGCGTCTATCATGCCCCCTGTTAATATGATGAATAAGGCGCCAGCCGCAACATCGAAACCTTGCATGAAGGGGAGGATGGGATTGAAAATAAAAATAACGGGATCTCCGTCTGGACTGGGGCCTTGCCTTGTCGTCGTAAGCTTCAGGAATCCGTTGCCTGCCATCCGGACCGGGTCCCCTGGAAGCAGAGCAAGCACGATGGTGAGAGCGTAAATTTTGCCCATTATGCCTATTAGCAGTGACGCTCGCAGCCCACACTACGGCGTCTGCAATCGCACGGAGCTCAGCGCGAAGCTCATGACCTGTCGTCAAGGGCGTGCAGTGATGGCAACAGCTGTTGGCCGGCATGTGATCAGGGCCAAGCTGCACGCTGAACCGCTTCTCGATCCGCCGGCATGTGTGGCGCTTTCCGCTTTTGGATTTGCGCTAGTCCCGATTTTGGACAAACCTGCAGAATGGCAACCCACTCGGCTGCGTCAACCGTGCCTGTGGGGTTCAGCTTCCAGCGTTGCAATCAGATGAAAATGGGGGTTGGAAAGTGGGGTCCAATCGTCAATTGCGGGTGACCAATTCAGCAGATCTTGCTGCAGCTCAGGCCCGGAGAGGAGCGTGCCGCTCCGGCTCCAGCGGGAAAAGAAGGGAATAAAATTTGGGAGGACATGGAAAAGTCATCTTGTGATGGGGTCGTCATTGGCACCGTGTGGTCGTCGGACCGGATCTCCCTCGTTCGATAACGACCAGAGCGAAACCTTTGGGGTCCACGTGCCGTGATGGCTAACTTCATTTCCAAATTCCGCAGGTTGGAACCTTCCGCCCGTCCGAGGGTTTCATGTCTTTTCCGCGCCGTTTCGCTCTCGCTTGCCAAGCGATGGCAAGATGTAGAAGGAGAAATCAGTCGAGATTGGAAGGGCGACGCTGCGAAATGACCAGATCAGACCCGGACGAGAGTCGCCGGCGGCCTGACCGACGACGAAGCGCCAACCTGATGCGCTCTAGTTCGACTCCTGCCTCAGATTTTACCAGGGAAGCGCGAAAAGACGAGACGAAGTGCAGGGTACATAGGTTTGGCTTTCGGTTCGGGCCGGATCCTCCCTTGCCCACCGCGAGGCCGATTTCAACGGCCTTCCTCAACGACGTTGCAGCGCAAACCACGATCCCCCGTCGAGCCAAGACACCACACCCTCAGTGCCGTAATGAGCCGATGCCGACGTGCGTCACACACGCAACCCACCAGAGACGACACACAGGCTGCTGATTACATACTACACCGGGTTGTCGTTCACACGGTAGTGTCGCATCGGTTATGACACGAAATATCTCCCAGCGCGGCGGCGTGCCACATCGTGCGCTGGCAGGGAGGGTTTCAAAGATTGGGCGTCGAATTAGTCGGTTGTTTTCGGGTTTCATCACGGAGGTCGCCTCGAAATCGCGCAAAAACGGCGACGCGCCGCCGCTAAAGGAGGGACCGGCCCGGTACCTGGTGGGAGGATCTCATCCCCGTTTCCTTCGGTGTGCTGGTGCGGGCGGTTTTGCATGTTTTCATGCCATCGCAGAGCCCTAGTGGTGAGTGTCGGAAGTGGCTTTGCCTGCGCAAAAATTTGCAAGAATATGACTGGAGGCAGGGAGGTCAGCGCCTTGCACGACTGCGTGTTGCTCCTCTCAGCTGCCGACAGCACATGTGTGCTGTGACGACACGTGTCTGTGGTGGCCGCCATGTGTGGCTACCTGAGGTTGTTGAACGAGAAAAGGGAAGCAACGGGATGCTAGCCGTCATCATGGTCTGCTGTAGTGCGAATAAGAGGCAAAAATAGGGCTTGGGCGGGCTGAGATTCGGACCCAGGACACCTACTAAACGCTTTGAACCAACGCTGATAAGGCTCATGAATGCTCTGACCACTGAGCTACCCGTCCTTCGGCTGTTGTTGGTCGAGACTGTCGTTTACTCGGTTTATAAAGGGCCTGATGACGAGATGGCGGAAGTGAGTGTGGGTTTTGGTGTTTGACTAATGAATGTAAGTTCCTGTCGGCGATGAGAGTACTGTGTAGGTGGAAATCATAGCTATCGACGGATAGTCTTTCGTGCCGGCCGAGTACACTGACACCGGGCCGGGTCGGGGTTATCGTCGTCCACTCTTGTATAACAACGGGTTTAGTCGTTCCGGTACCCTAAGTAACTCGAGTTTTGTTGGGAACCAAGTTCCACAATACACTAAAACTTCAAAATGCACTTCTACATGGATAGTTGTATCACTTGAGACTCAGTGGTCGTGGAGTTTGGATCTTCTTCGGGCAGTGACACCTGGCGTGTCTACTTTGGATATCTCAACGCTTCGAGTTGCACAGCTCTTGAGACAGTTATGCAATGAGTTATCCAGGTGAAATGTATTTGGGAAGAATGGCATTGTTAGAGTAGGATTAATCTCATGTAAGAGTAACATTGATCTCAGGAGCCATGACTTTCCCGCCGATGTCACTCGGGTCCCCCTGTCGACTTTCGGACTGATCTCAACCTTCTGTCGTAATGAACCTGGGCAGTTGTTCTGATGAGTGTGGCTGTTCGTGTGCTGGAATTGAATACCTGGTATACAGTCCACGAATGGAGGAAAGAAGCGATAGGGTTGCTCATGTCTTGGAATTTTGGGAGGAAATTTCCAAACATTTCCTTACCCCTCATCTCCTCGTTCCTCTTCTTCCCGTAGAGTTTCGGTGTGTTCAAAGACGGGGTCACGGAGTGAAGATTGTGTTCTCTCCGAGTTGGACACCAATTGGAGAGGATCATCAAATTGGAGATCTGCGATCGGGAATAGATGCGGGGAATCCCTGAAAGCGGGGATCACGGTGTGGAGATTGCGGGGGCGTGCGCCGACAACAGGACCATTCGAAGCCGAAGCCCGTTGCAGTGGCAGTGGTTTTGACCAGCTCACAGCAATGCTGCGGCAGCGAAAGAAGCGAAGCAACTGCCGCCCGAGCGCAACCGAGCATGTTGGGAGATTTGGGAATCTTGGACGGTTGCCCCTCGCGGTGGAGACTCTCCGCGGACCTGGGATGCTTGGGAGCGGCATGCCCCGGGACCCCGCATTCCGCCGGGGCAGCAAATTGCGGGCCGCACTTGCCGAGAATCTTCCCGCTCCTCCACCAAATTGTCTTGCATCCATCTCATGACCTTCATTTCACAACTTCAGCATCGTATCTTGGTTTGGATTGAAGAGGGTCGACAAACGTATCCTTCTCGCTACCATGCGGGACGACCGTGACGACGTGAGGATGTGCCGATCCCTGCCGCACGACAAGGCATCACGCCGAAGGCTGCCTCGGATTGAACAGACTCGTAGCCAAACCGCAGGTCGATGAGACCCATGCTGACACTAACCGACTCGGTCCCCAATGTGCGCCGAATGGTTGCGGCCGACGGCGGCCGACGGCGGTCCTGCTGACAAACATGGCTGGCTGCTCGGGTCACCGGAGCTGATGCAATCCACGTGCGGCGTTGGGGGCCGGAGGATCAGCCAAGCCCGGAAACTGGTTGGTAGCGGCCAGACGCTGTGCAAGGCTGAGCAAGAGCCCGCCATGGCCGAGACAGGATCGTTCGGATGCTAATTCTAGACAAACGCCTCCGGAAGCACGAGACAACCCTGAGGGCCCCGAAATCCTCCGGGAGAGGTTCCTTTACGACCGACGCCGCCAAATCAGCCGCCCAAACCCGGGGTCGGCGTCAAGGCCGGCCGCCTGCAACTGATCTGCGGCTCACGTGGCGCTGCTGTCTTACGGGGCTCCGCCAACCGCGCCGTGGACCGCGGGGACAACCACGGTAGATGGCATTCAATAACCCCTTTTGGGAAGGTCTGGTTCAACAACTGTGCCATTAGGTGGGATCTCCTGACGACCAGCAGCCAGCCGAGACAGCAACGTTCAAGTCATGTTTGCGCTCTGTGCCCAACCAGACACAGGCTGTAAGCATCATAAGGCATGTCTTGGGTTGCACCGTTTTGACTAACACGAGGCTGAAGTCGCGTAGGAGTTGGCAATCTGGCTGGTCGCAGCCGTGGTAGGCGTTGCCCGGCAGCGCGAAACCCTATCTCAACATCTAGGGGAGCGGATCGTCGACGCTTTCATGTCGATCCCGGGTGCCACGTTGAGCTCATGTTTGGGTTTGCGAGAATAGACATGACGGCCATGTTGCCGCACGAGTGCCCAAGTAGGCAGCCGCTGGGTCTCTCTTCTCTCCAAGCCTCGCGACTGGTTCCTTCGACGGCGGGGGGCCGGCAGTGCCATCGCTAGCCACCATATTCGCTCAAGCCCCGCTTCACCTGCCTTGGGACACCTTCCTTGCGCAGCGGTTCACACTCGGAGAGCTTGGGAACAACCATGGACAACCCTTACCGCCTGCCCAGTTGTTGTGGAAAGAGCGAGACTCAGGACCCTGCGTCGGATTCCAACATGACATTGCGCTGTACAAAACTCTGCTCAATGAGGGCACGCGTCCGCTTCTCAACCTTTGTCAGTTAGCATATCATGACTTGGGGTCTTTGGATTCTCCCCGTGACGGCGTTTGTGTTGCCGGTCGTGCGTTGCATTTATATCCTTTGTTGCCCCCCCTATTATTCGCCTGCCGACCATCGATCGGAGGTCGAAACGCCAGTTACCCGAGTCTTTTTCTACGCACCCGCTCTCATCAACATGGTGTCGGCAACATGGGGCGGTCTCGCCGCTCGGGCTGCGCTCTTGATGCGCCCACAAGCCCTCGAGAGGGCAGACAATCCAAACTACTCCCTGAACGCTCTTGATTCAGTCAAAGCCCTCCAAAGCTGGTACAACAACGCATCAGGGCTATGGGATAGCACTGCTTGGTGGAATAGTGCAAACTGCCTCACCACCCTTGCCGACTGGGCTCTGCACGACAGCTCCCACGGTCAAGCCTTGGGCGTCAATATCTCCCTCGTCATGGCCAATACATTTGTGAGGGCGCAGACACACCCTGGCCGAGTTCAGAAGCGGCTCACCAGCACCGGCCGCACCATGTCCAACTTCAATGTCCACACTAGACACCGACGAGATGACCTCGAATCTAGGGGGTTCCCTGGTTTTCTCAACGATTTCTACGACGACGAAGGGTGGTGGGCGCTTGCTTGGATCCGCTCCTGGGACGTCACACACGAACCGCAATTCCTGGCAATGGCGCAAAGCATTTTCAAGGATATGAAAACCGGCGAGGACAACATCTGCGGTGGCGGAATTTGGTGGAAGAAAGATCATCAATACAAGAACGCCATCGCCAACGAGCTCTACCTCAGCGTCGCCGCCAGCCTCGCCAATCGCGTCTCCCCAGACCTCAAGGACTCCCATCTCAACATCGCCAAGTCTTCCTGGTCCTGGTTCCTCAACTCCACAATGCTCAACGCCCAGAATCTCGTCAACGATGGCCTCGTCATCAACCCTGACGGCTCATGCTCAAGCAATAACTATACCACCTGGTCCTACAACCAAGGCGTGATCCTGGGCGGCCTTGTCGAACTTTTCAAAGCCACAAATGACAGCTCCTACCTCGACACGGCTACCGCCATCGCCAAAGCCGCTCTCACTCGCCTATCCGATAAAGTCGGCGTCATCCACGAAGCCGACAAATGCGAACCAAACTGCGGCGGCGATGGGAGCCAATTCAAAGGCATCTTCATGCGCAACCTCAACTATCTCCACTCTGTCGCTCCCCAAGACGTCTTTCGTACGGCTATCGTGGCCAACGCGGATTCCATCTGGCTGAACAATCGTAATCCGAATACAAACCAGCTGGGCATCAACTGGTCGGGTCCGTGGAATGCCGGGCTGGGACCTAACGCTTCGACGCATAGCTCGGCTATGGATGCCGTCGTGGCGGCCATGGTGGTGGTGGCTTAGGAAGGGGCTGGTGTTTCGGGTTGCATGTGTAGGAACGAGGAATATCCCAAGATCAGCGGGGCGGGGAGGGGGGTTTCGCTTTCGAGGGGGGCGGCTTGGATCGAGTTGGGCTTTGCTTTGTTGGGGGTTCTAGGCTTTGATGTGGCGTTGATGGTTTAGGGACCAACTAGTTATGAGTTACTCGCTACGAGTCTGGGGTTAAGACTGGGTGAGATACCCGTGGTAGCAACCGGAGTGCTGTTGGCTTCTGCAGTCTGGTTTAGGATTCAGGCATTGTCGGTGCTAAGGATGGTCATGGCAAGGGTAGGGGGTCAGAGGCTTCTGATCAAGGGCGAGTCTCCTAGGCATGTCTACTTACGTAGTCGGTAGTGGTAGTATTAAGCTCTCGACTCTTAGTCTTATGAGAAAACGTTTACCTTCACATCCCAGTATAATGCGGGAGACGTCATGGCGAAGTTGAACCGAGAGCTCATGTGCATGGTTTCAACAGCGGCCGAGCCACGCCACAGTTTCACACGGATTAGTCTACAAATTTCTTCCCTCTTACAGATCTAGAATACACTCTATATTGCTCGCTCCATATGCCATCATACCATAATTCTCCTCAACCCTCCCGTCCCTCCGAGAACCTTTCTCCCGGTAACGGCGCACCTCCCTTCTCCGATCTCCCACTTCCCTTCCTTATCAGTCATGAACTTTTCTTGCCGTGGGTGCGTCCCCTCCATCCACTTGTGAATACACGTATAGCAGTACACCACCCCCGTCTGACACGCCGTAGCCGTCGTGATCTCGCCTTCGCAAATCGGACACAGCGACGAGTCCGTGGGTGCTAAAACCGTATAAATCGGCAACAGCGATGAAGCCGCAATGGGGGCATCCTCCACCGGCTTTTCCCTATCCCCCTCGTCCTCCCCCTCGTCCCCCTTTGCCTTTTTGACTCCCTTCCCCTTTGCCACAGGCGGCACCACCCCCGTCCCCAGCACCGGCGGCGGTAGATCCAAGCTCTCCCCCGCCTTGCG